CTTGGAATATTTCCCACTGACACAAGCATTAAGAATCCTGCTGCCTATAGTGACCAACTGTTCAGACAGTGATATTTCAAATGAAATTCTTTGAGTGGTCTACCACCAGGTTCGACTCAACTTGGTGTAAAGGAGTCCCAGTCTGTTGTACCCTTCGTACATCTAACAGGTGAATTGTTATACCGAGTGATAATTACAAAATAATGCGGCATACTTTCAAATGGCTTTTGACATGATCGTTTATCAACCGCTCGTTAATTGACACTTTTGAGTTACTTCTGCCAGCCAAGCTTGAAATTACATGCCTGTTTCTTCCCCACAGGGAAATCCGCACATCAGCGGTAAATTTCCTCAGTCCTTGACCCTTTTATTGTAGCCAATATATGTCAGCCATGCTTGTGTAAGTCTACTTTAACGAGGGTACTCATCTAGCCAATATCTGCAGAGTTTTATCTTCGTCTACAGCCTACGCTCTAGGTAGGGCTCATTTTAAGAGCCAAACTCCAAAAATATACTTACGGTCGTACATTTTATTAACGAAGGCACTCCTCCAGCCAATATCTGCATAGTTGTATCTTTGCCAAAGCTCTGCTTTCTATAGTCTAATCCAATGTGGGAAATTGAATGGAGCCGTTCCCTGTGCTTTTAAGTGAGTGAAGCAACAGACAACGTATACTGTCGTACATTTTAACAAGGGCACTCCACCAGCCAATATGTCTGTCAACTCTAGCTCTCTAGACAGACTGCGTCGGTGTGGTAACTTCAACAGACCCATTCTGTTTGCTTTCAAGTGAGTGAAACTGTCAACATTTACTGTCATACATTTTATCAAGGGCACTCCCCCAACCAACATTTTCGTAATCTACATATCTCCCTCCAGACAGACTACATCGGTGCGTAACTTCAACAGAGCCATTTTCTGTGCTTTAAAGTGATCGAAACTGTCAACGTTTACTGTCATACATTTTCACGAAAGCATTTTCCCAGCCGATATCTTTAATTTGTCAAAAGCATGCCCGTTTCTAGACAGAGTGCATCCGTGCGGTAAGGCGATGTTAATTTGATTATATGGATGACATACGATGGAAACTCCAAAACTGATGCAAGCGTACGAATAAAAAAAAAGTTTGGCAAAAAAAATTGCCTTCATTATGAAATGTAGGTGGTCATGAAGGTTGAACAAATGACTGAACACACAGAGTATTATTTTATTCCTTCACATCTGCTTCTTGTCCTTTGGAATGGATTTTGGCATTCTGCGACATGAGTATCGTTTTCCAATATTTTTTTCTCAATACAACATATATTTGTTCATTTTGCAGCTAATTTGTACAACTTACAGTATATGGTCGAAAATTTCTCTTTTTTTTTGGGAAACGGACGAAAATTCATGCGCGCGCGGATGTCATCCATATAATCAAATCAACATGGCCTAACTCGAGCAGAGCCGTTCACAGTGGATTAGTGCAGACCGTACACCTGCCATTACTCACCGGGGTGTCTCCCTGTCAGGGCGGCTTTACACGAGCGGATACGTCCCCGCCTGGAGTGTGTTTTGGCAGGAGTTGTAGAGATGTAACATAAATCCTCCCGATTACTCACCAAGGTTTGCTTATAGTGGGATTCAAAACTGTGTTTGTAGCTGTTTTGTAGGACAAGCTTGAGTCCGTGGCAGTATTTCATTGTAGAAAAAAATCAAAATGAAACAGTCTTTTTTTTTCCCAACATTTGCTTTCGTGTTGGAATTCATCGCAGAGATTTCTCATTTTCTTCCTAATTTCTAAGCTACACTCACGTCCTCATCACGTAATTATTTTCTCAAGGACAAAATTAGATTGAAAGGCGCCAATAAAATAACGTTTACTCCATGAGGAGAGATATCCATAAGCGCCTTACAGAATTCAGCTTAGAATTTTAAAAAATCGATCCACTGGCTACTTTATGTTATGAAGAATATAAAAAAAATCCCTGCATTCTCGTACTAAAGGCGTCCTCACTCAACTGTTGACGTATGTACATCATGTCCATCAAATTATAGCCATCCCTTCCTTCCTTCCTTTTTTCCTTCCCTCTCTCCCTCCTCCCCCTTCCTTCCTCCCTTCCTTCCTTCCTCCCTACTTCCTCTTTATATAAGAGGTGGAGAGAGGTCTGTAATTCGTGTTGACGTCGTCAAAGAATTAGCTTGCCGGAAAAAATCAATTGGCTGCCTAATGAGAAGAAAATCCCCGCCCTGCCTACCCTAATCCCCTCCCCTGTACTGTTAATACACCATCCCCGCCGACACCGGTGTGCGCCCGACCCCTCCCCCCGGGGACCGTCCCGCCAACCTTGATGAATGTGGTGTCAGCAAAGCTCCCGCGCGAGCCCGTGAGGTGGCCGACCCGGGCCTTGACACATCAGCCTTTCCACGCGTAATCTGCCGCCCAGATTTATTTAGGAGGCTCCGCTCGTACCCTGCTTTTCATGGTTAATAGATGAGCACGGGATGCGGCGTGTATATATAGAACCGGAGCTGCTTGTCCTTTATTACGCGTACTGCGAGGAGCTACGTGTAGCGGGAGAAGGATTGGGCTTGCCACACACGCGCGCGCGCACGGTGTGCAGAAAGGGAGAGTGTTCAGCCGAGATTTACCGATAACGACAAGCAGAAGGAACGCACGCGCTGGCTGGGTTCTCTTGTTCTTGACGGAGGCGCTGATACACGAGAATGGTCCTGCTGCTGACAGTCAAGATGCAGCGCGCTATGAGGAGGATTGGAACCCGTGTCCGCACACTTCTGCTCTTCGGGATCATCTTCATGGGGATTCTAGTGTTCCAGGTATTGTCGTGGAAGCCTGACTCGGACCTGTCCGCGCCGCTAGCGGTGCCCCGAAGAACTGGCGACGGCGAGGCGGGACCAGGACGCGCCTCGCACCGCCCGGCTCCTGGCGCCGTCCCGGGACGGCAAGGCAGCTCTCCCGGTGCAGCAGAAGATGAGGTCGTCTGGGGCGAAGAGCCTCGGGAAACGGGCAAGGTCTTCTCCGCGATAAGGAAATCTGAACAGGCTGAAAGTTTACCGCTTCAGACAAGCCCGCTGGCGGAAACAAGCGGGAAGTCCAACGCCACGGTCCTTCCTCTTGTCAACACTGTCTTCCTCCTGGGCATGAACGGTAAGATCTTCTTGTTTTCTTAAGTTAAGTGCCATTTTCTAAGATCGGCTCAGAACTGCTCGACTTGTTGGGGCAAAACGAGACAAATAACGACAAATTTTCCCCGAGCCGACCGAGCCCTGACCCTAACCCGGTCCGCTCGCTCCCAATGGGTAGCATATGTTCCGATGCAATACAGGTTTCACCGGTGGCAGCTTGATGGACGAGGGTTCCGCCGGGCGAGTCTGTGGCGTCCGACTGGAGGCACTCGTTCAATCCCCTCATCGGATCGCTCTTTCTTTTCTCTTGCAATTACTAGCATACATATATCTGTGCAAGATGTGGTTAGGAGGGCTTCTTGCGTGTACGAGTTGTACGTTTTACTTTTAAGTATGCGTTGAAGTTCTATTAGGAGTATCGCATTATGTTGTCGTAAAACGCGTCGAAGATTATTCTTTTTCTTCTTAAGTTTCCCCGTCATTACTGATAGAATCATACACAGCATGCATACAGCCATGTTATATTATGTATGTGTGATATATGCAAGTACGCCACAGTTGTATGTGTACCGTTTTCTGTGGTCTTAAAACCACACAGAAACTTTCCTTCCTTCCCCAACAACTACATACAGTCTAAATAGTACATACATAAAGTGTGGTCATAAAGTCATGAACTCATTCTTCTCCGAGTCTCTGGATTTTAGTGGATGTTTTTAGAAACGTCGTTTTCCTGTGGTCATAGAAACGTATCGACATCGCTCGTGTCCAGCCGACCGACAACGGCAGAAAAATTGGATAAACGCGAAGACCGATAATATATATTGATGTCTGGGTGTTCGTTCCTCCCAGGTAATTGCACGATCAATGGTGACGCATGGGGGAACCGACAAGACCGGCCATTTTTTCTGTGACGTCTTTTGAGAACTTTTTGACCATTTATGTTGTAAATTGCTATCATTCTGGCTGCAGCCTGCGCTTGAAAAGTTTTCAGCTGTTGGAAATTTAAAGGTCTGACATTTGAGGAAAGCACAGAAAAGTTATCTGAGAGGACATTGAACCCTAATGTACTACACTATCTATAAAAAATCTACCCAAGGCGAAAATCATTGGAGAACATTACTACTACTTAAAAGGTCGAACAACTCAGGGGCATGCTTTTAAGACGGTACCATCTTAGAATCTCCAAGGGGGTATTTTCTGAGGTGTGATAAAGTCAATTTTCTTGGCTTTATTACATGTATACATGATTTTACCACAATAAAGTATTCAAAGGATAATTAATTTTTCAAACTTCACGGGTGGAATACCATTTTGTGGTGGTGGTGGACGATGAAAACGTCATCGATGAGGCTATATAAGCAGAACCGCTACCCCTCCTTGTTGGTAAAATGGACTATTCCAGAGTGATATACAAGTCCACATTATAGCCAGAGACAGATCGGTATGGTGGTCGCCTGGGGAGCTTTCCCGGGAAATTAGACAAGAAAGGCTAAATGTCATCAAACGTTTGGTTCCATTTCCATTTGATGAGCTGCACATTTCATTAAATCAGACCGCGCGTCGACCCGTGGCTTATCGGGAAAAAGGAACTACTGTAATACGCCCCATCTTTCAAGATTTACACTCCCTGACTTTGTTTTCAGATTCCTTTCAAGGGCCATTGGACACGAAATATTGGGGGAAATTGCACTTTTGTGCAGCCGAAATTAGAGGTCATTTTTGACTGTGGTTGCACCGGTGCACCTGGACATTTGTGTAGGGTTACATGTGCGAAGGTAATATATTATACACTTGTATATATCATTGTTATTTTAGTGTCACGGAATGATAAATTTTTGTTGTATCACTTTAAGATTTTAGCAAAAAAATTCAAGACCAAGTTCTGAAGCTTTCATGTTTGGCACCAAATGTTTTTTTTTTCTGTGTACCGAAATTTAGACCTCAGGTGAAGCAGTGCACCTGTTCCCCAAAATGAACGTCCAGCCCTTCCTTCTGCGTGCTGAGGTCACGACACGCCGACAGACTGCGCTGTTGCATAGATACATTCGATTTTATGGTCTTTGATTTAGTAAACATAGCGGCGAGCGTTTGTTACTGCGGATCCATATCAACTTTGACTGCAAGTGCGTCAATATCATCTGCTAGGTTTTCCGCAAGAACGGTGGGGGAAATATTTGATTTCTGTCCATGAGACACGGTGCTCTGCCCAACGATCTGTACTATATTGCCGGCGATAAAAATGCGGCGTTACGGGACCACTGTTCGCAGAATGGCGGCGCTTATCCCGAGGAAAGGGCCCATAAGAAGCCGTAAAAGCAGACTGAGAGCTCTCCTGTCGTCGGTAGTAAACATCACGTCTGGTCACGGTTCATGGCTCTACGGGTCGGACGTTTCCAGACGTGACCTTCAAGCATGACCTTCAGTCTTCGGGAGCGGCAAACCGTTCTCTCCCAACAGACCAACTCCCCTGGAATGCTATCTCTCTTATTTGGCCGAATTTTTATCTTTCCAGCCACCCCCTGAAGCCTGGTAGAGGCTAATATGTAATGGTGGGACGTCCTTTCGCAGTTTCGGATGGGACGAAAAGCCGGACCTCCTGTGTTTGAGGAGAGTCACACTTATCGAAAAGAGTAGGGGGCGTCGAGGTGTGACTGGTGCAAATAAAGCGTTGCAGTTATATGGCTGCATCTGGGGTCGTACTGAAACACATACATGTACAACTTCGTTGGGAATTTTGTACATTGTCCTTAGAAACACAACCTTTTTGTAAAAACTTTAGTAGTTTTTGTAGCCACGAACTGTTTTCTATCGACCTGTGTGGTGACTTGCATAATACGAACGCCAGAAATAGACGTAAGGATTGGCGTACGCGCCTACGTTCGAGCCGATATCCACCCTTCCGTGCGTCCCGTCCCACAAAGATTGTTCCTATCCTAAGAACGCACCGTTGCACACCGTTCCTATCTGCCATCTGAAGTAAGTTTGTAGTTCCACTTCAAAGCTCCCTGACATCGCCATCAAAAGAAGAAGGGATCAAATGCATCCTTCCGTTGGAGAGACTTTCTACAGATCTAATACCAGAGTATTACAGGGAAGATGAAAAGACCTGCAAGTAAAGTTTTCTCCCAGAGTTTGCCTCGAGCTAGGGCGCCGATGCCACGAATACTTGAAATAAGCAGATTTACGTTCAATTATCGTGAGTTCTGTCAAGGTAAAAGTATGGGAGATATGGAGCTACATTTTGTTATGATATTTCATACAGATCAAATAATACGGGGATGGTTTGGGCTGAATTTTGCGTACATGGACAATTGGACATGAATTGCCTATCAAGATTGTTGGAATGTTAGAAAACAAGATATAGCCAAAATGTTCAGCTCACGGGAATTTCGGGCTTTACGGCGTTCTGCTTACCCCCTCCACAGCCCACAGCTTTAGAAGCCTCGGTAGGCTCCAAGTACATGTGTGTGTGGGGAGACGCCGATCCGCAATCAAAACGTAAATGTGATTTCCTCGAGTAGTTGAACCGGAGTGCCCCCCTCTGCGCCGCATTCATCATCGCGAACGATCCAGCCAAACACCGGGCTCCTCAACACGTGAGCCGAATGAGAAGTCCTCACTATCTCCACCAGACTTGTCTTAAGGGCTGGCAACTGTAGACGGTTGGTTTCAAAGTACAGCGTGCAATTTACCAGGGGAGTTTACCGTTAATTGGTCGTTCTCCGACTGGCTAACTTCTTTAGTAAATAGGTAACCCTGGTTGGTCGATTTTTGCTATCTTTCTGTCCAAGAAAGGTGGAGCATTCAAAGTTTAAAAGAGATACTAACATGAGCTTTTTCCCAAAGAAAAGACCAGTAATTCTCAATGCATGCGTTGCGCTCTCTATTCAAATTTGGGGCTTTTTAGGGTCAACATGCATTGGAACTTATCCCTCCTAGATTTAACTTAGAATTTGTTTTCAGCTTCGAAGTTACAATGGTGAATCCGTGGGTATTTCAAAGTACTGTACGTGCTGTACATGGTCAGAATGTATCCTGAGGATAAGACGATATGTTGAAGTATACGTGATGGGACTTTGTCAAAATGAAATGAGACATGAAAAGGTAAGAGACTAAGACAGTGTCTGTAATCTGAAGGCGGCAAGTCAGCATGTCTCAGCTGGTCCTGTTAGATAGTATTCTGTCTTCCTGTTACTAAGTGTTAGTTAGCGTCACCTCCTCCACTTTGTCTCCGTGCATCGTATTCCAATCACAAGCCAACTTGCAAGGGTCACACAATCCAGTTTCGTTCGCTCAATGCAACAGTCGTTCGGCGGAAAGGGAGCTTTAAATCATCTAACGCACATGTTCTGATGTATGAAGGTCAGTGTAGGGCGATGTACTGTCACAGGAAAAGTAGGTCGTGTTTATTGAGGCAGAAGACACGGCGGCACGGTACGGGGAATGTGTCATGATTTAGTGATTGGCAATTACATTTTGGTGGATCACGAGGTCCGGGTTCAAATCCCGGTTCGATTGTCGGCGATCTGATTTGCATACAACTGAGAGATTTTGCTCCGCCGGTTCGAATAAAGATTTCGAATCAAGATTTCGAATCAAGATTTCGAATCAAGATTTCGAATAAAGATTTCGAATAAAGATTTCGAATCAAGATTTCGAATCAAGATTTCGAATCAAGATTTTGAATCAAGATCTCGAATCAAGATCTCGAATCAAGATTTCGAATCAAGTATTCTGTCTTCTTTAACGCGTCTGTTGGTGCATTTTGTTGTTGACATAACTAGTTTTGTTACCGCTGACAGTGTGGCGCCGGCCTCGTGTTTAGAGGATCTACAAAAGTTTTGTGAAAACACGCGTTAACCTCACCGCACACAACGATAAGAGCGCGCGTGCGACGGATCAAACCTATCAGTTTCCCAGCCGGCCTGTATTGCGGTACGTACGTAAGACTGTGTGTGTAAAGCTGGAGTGTTCTGTAGTTAGGCGCTTTGTCGGTAACGCGATAGAGACACAGACACAGATGCGGAGAGGAGATAATAATTCGGGCACAGTTGCTGCATGCAAGATTTGCTGGTGTTTTAAATTTCTCTCGCACAATTTTCTACCGTAGAAATACCGCAGTATAACTCGTGCATGTATTTGCTATTAGCACGCAGCTAGAAACATTTCATTTCTTGATCAATAAGACTGATTTTGCAACTCATTTCAAGAGCGGTACTTGACATAACCTATTGGTGAAATTAGTGAAGGAAACACTACAAGTGCACCGATCTTTCCTTTCCCCACATTTAGCGATCCGAGTCAATTTTACTCAGTCAATTCCAGACCACTTCCTTCTCCTTCAGAGAAGAGCGAAGGAATCAAGTACCGCAAACAAGAGCCGTGAAACGATGTGCACATTTATTTCAAGACAATCAGTCAATCCCGAAGCACTTCGGAAGAGCTAAGAGAATTTAGGACTAGCAACAATGAATGTAAAATTATTCCTATAACGAAATCATCCAATCGCAAATCTCTTCAAGAGAGCTAACAGAATTTAGTACCATCACCAATGGGACTGGGTAATGACGCATGTATTTTATAACAAGATCATCCAATCCGAAGCCACTTCAGAAGAGGTAAGAGAATTTAGTACCATCAATAAAAATTGGAAAATGATTTATTCATTTATTACCCTTCCTATTCCTCCGGGAGCGAGGAAACACCGATCGAAATCTTTCTGATATCCTATTCATGCTGCATTCACTCCTCTGATCTAATATGGATTTTCTACTACGACACAGAAGACTAGTAGGCAACATCGCCGACCAATTCCCAACCACTGCTGACCTTGCTCACGACTAACTCCCAACCTGGTCTGGAGAAGGCCGGCCAATGGAGGTCATGGTTGGCTAAGTGTGACATTCACACATTGATCCCACTGATCCAACCATGCGGGTTCCCGCAAAGACTCAGCCAAAGTCAATAATCCGCTTCAGATCAGATCGATGACAGGGATCATTCCGTCCGGCAGAAACAAACACTGACTTACCGGCGTGACTGCAATGATCCTGGGCTTTAACGGGGGTTGGATGATTCGACCCGTGTGTTTTGGCTTCACACATGAACGACCAAGACCTCCCGACCTTCTCCAGACCATGGTTGGGTGTGACTTGTGAGTAAGGTCATCTGTAGTAGGAAGTAGCGTCTACCAGGCTTCAATAGGCAGCTGGCCATGGAAAGAGTAGAAATCGGCCAAATAGAGAGATAGCATGCCGGGGGAGTTGGTCTGCTGGAGAGAACAGTTTGCCGAACCGTGTGGCCGAAGCCTGTAGAGGCTAATTGCAAGTTAGTCAGCAAGGCTGCCAACTATAAAAAAATGCCTTTGTCATCCGACCATACATTCTAAAATCAAACTCGGGAATAATGCCATATTCTGCTTGGATGCGATCAGAGTAGCAAACTAGAGCTAGAAAATAATGGATTCCAGGCTTCTCCCAGCCCAGTCACCCAATGCTGACATTGGTTGGAGACTGGTCAGGAGTGGTTGGGAGTAAGTCGTGAACAAGGTGGTTGGGAATGGGTTGGCAAGGTTGCTAAGTCGCCTGTGCTATCCGATTATACATTCTAAAATCAACTTCTGTAATGTCATGTTCTGCTTGGATGGGATCAGAGTTGCCAAGTGGCCAACTGGACTTAGGAAATAATGGATTCCAGGCTTCTCCCAGCCCAGTGCTGACCTTGGTCGGAGAGAGTAAGCGGTCGGGAGTAATTAAAAGGTCCCGAATGTGTGACAGGGGCTTAAGCGGCGTGATTGCGATCATCCCCGGGCTTTAAACGGTGTTTAGCGGATTCGCCCCGCGTGTTGTAGTTTACCTTCACGTGGGATGAAAACAACCCGGGGCTTGTCAGTGAAATTAAACCAGACGAGCCTGGGCTAGGCCCTGTCTGGTTTTGTTGAGCGCGGAACCAGCTGAGAAAAGACAACTGCAGTGATAATGACGTCTGATGAAACAAACAGGCTTAGTTTCTGGGCCAGTGTGTCTGTTGTTTGAATCTCAGGCGCCTTTCTCGGATGTGTTGTGACAACTTGTGAGCCATGTTTTGCTCGCTACAGTTATTAGGGGTTCCTGGTGTTGATTGGAGAAGTTAAGTCGTCGGCGCCACAATTAGATCACATTAAAGAAACATCCACACTTACAGACAGGCTTTCATGTGTGCAAACCCAACTAAACACCTAAGATTAAACGTAAATTGAGCAGAACAAAATGAACTCAACTGAAATAAACTTATTAAGGAAGTTTAATAGAGATATTATATGGCATTAAAATGCTTTCCAATTCTAATTTTATCACAATTTGCTGTAAATTTTATCGAATGGCGTCGCTCTTACTTATCGGACATTTGTAAAACAGGCGAGAAGACTCTAAAAGTTCATAAACCAGCGGGTTATATCTGATACATTCTCAAAATAGGGATCTTTACAACCGCGCATTCTTCATCCAGATACCTAAAATCGACCATCTTCAATGTCTCGGCGCTGATATCACCTGACGAATCATTTTTATTGAGGAAGAGCAGAGACCGGAGATTACGCACAAAGCTTTCTGACAAGTAAGCCGCTTCGCCGAGCCCGCGCACATGACAGAGTGACTAATAGACAATTTCTCGCAAACGGATTTTCGATGATATCTTGTAATCTCCGATCCATCTTGTGATTTCTTAACAATGCTTATGGCTCGAAGAAAGGAGCTTGAAGTCCTTTAAGCATGTACGAATTTTCCGCAAGAAATTCATCCGACAATTCGTGTGCGAGAGGACATCGATGCTCATCAATCTAGATCTTGGCAGTAGCGGAGTGCTGTAGGGATATGGACACCAACATATGGGAGACGCAGCAAATAGAACTCTTAGGAGACAGAAAGGGGGGGGGGGTGGAATACAAAGACATGCATCAGAACTCAGACGTTTAAGGCTGATAAAAGAAGCAATAACTACACGTGTAGAAGTTGTAGTTTTCATGGTGTGTTACGCCGAAGGCTATACAGATACAGATACAGATCATGGAATGAAATAAAACGTTTTGGAATGCAACAGTGGTACGCAGGAGTAGAACGCATTACCTCTGGTGCGTGAAACTGGTGTCGTGACAACGACTTTCCCAACAAAAATAAATCATACGGGTTTGTATGTCATGGTATCTTTTTTTCAGTCGTTTGTAGAGACATTTGACCTAAATGTTAATTCTATTTTTCCAAGTTCAAAGTGACTGGAGTTCTGTGCTGCTTCCCCTGCAGTGTCGTACATGGGCTGTTATGAGGACAACGTGCTGCCCAACCGGAGGGCTCTACAGGACGACTTCTTCGCGGACTACCGCAGGATGACGATTGAGAAGTGTCTGGCACACTGTCGGAGGAAGTAAGTGGTTAATGAAAGTTTATTGCAACTTCATGCCCGAGGGCTAATTGTAAGAACATGATAAACAAGTATGATGTTTTTAAAAAAACACAGGCGACGATTTTGTGTTTAACTGTTCCGTTCTTTATAAATCGTTTTTTTTTCAAATACGTACACATATAATTCAGAAAGAATCCAGAATTTCTGTACAGTACGAGGAAAGCCGTCAGGGGTCCAAAATCAGTTAGACCCAGGTAAATTTATGTTGTGTTTCTAGCCCTTGAAAAATTAGAATCGCTAGATAGGGATTCACCTTTTTTATGTCTTTTGTTTTTTTTCATAGATCTTTATAATTAGTGATCCAACTAATACAGTTAATATAACAATGAAATGTATAAGTACACTGGTATCTTTAACACCACCCTAATTTCGCCCCTAGAGATATAATAGTGAAACGCCGTCTTGGGATTACCGTAAATTCCCGAAAGTACGCACCCCTTGTGCTTCTGTGCATGTAGCATGTATGTCTTAAAAACAGTTAGTTCTAGAAAATATCGTTTAAAAATAAATTTAGGCCGTGTACTATATACGTGATTGCATGATAACTGGATACAGTATTGTAGCGGGAAGCGTTTCGTGTTGGGGCTAGTTTTCATCGCTGGCTGCAGCCGATTTGCAAGACGTCACCACCGCATGGAAGGGTAAGGCAAGTGCGGCGAAACGTACAGCTTTGGATCACGGAGAGTGTTGGTGATCAAGCAAGCAATGGTCAATAAAGATTTGTGAATATTTCAATAATGGTTTTATCGGTAACAAGGGTTATAATGTTGATGCACAAGTACGTAGCTTTGTTGTTCTTTACTTCTATACGAAATGCGCCGAACACTTTAATAGGGCCCGCCCGGTCGAACCATAGAGAGCAACAATCATCGAGGCAGAGGTCTGGGCGGAGTTAATGAATGAATGAATGAATAAAGACCTTTATTGTACACACATACCCATTGGGTTAAGTAAGGGTCACAAAAAGGGTGGAATATAGATAACAAATATGTTAATGCTACTGTGGGTGTAGAAGTGCTACCGGATAATCAAAGGAATTATATACACTTCAAATATGTATTAATTTGTACTCCGTAAAACCAAGGACATTATACACACATAATGTCCTTGGTAAAACTGAGTGTGTTCAGAGGAAAGAAATACTTCCTTCTCGGGGCCAAGGTTCTGGAAAGCTGTCCTAAACGATGCCACGACCCTCTCTTCGTTCTTCAGCTGTATGTGCACTTTGCAGGGGAAAAAGATCGGCGTGCACAAGACAACGGGCGCAGCATGATTCAAAGTTTATTTTATTTACGCCCTAATTCACGCCGATCAAAAGAAACTGCGACAATTCGGTACGTGCAGGCACGTGCACGTGACGACACAGGCTGGCTTCCCGCTCTAGCTGTGGGTTCCCACGATGTGTTGCCAAGGGCAGCGGCACGTACACAGACCTACCGGCGGATCCCACCCACCGGCCGACGGTAAGATTGTCAAAGACTACATTTTTAACTCCGCACCTATCATTGTTGTGTGCCGAACAGTCGAGTACATCTAACTTGCATTTTCACGTCGTACTGACTGGTATAGCCCGCTACAAAGTAATTTCCTGTTGCATTAAACAAGATTTAAAAAGATTTGTGATACGAAATGAAATATTGATAACAATTTATGTTAACTGAACCTTTGTAATGGCATGGAGATAATCTTTGTTGAAGATTTCTGAGTTCAACGCAAGCCGGAAGTGCAATAGAAGTAGAGCTGACCATCAGTCGAGGTACAGCTATTATGTTATCACCTGTTACGTTACGACGATCAAGAACGTTCACGGCTTGTGGACCATTTCCAATATTACCACTCATAAACCCTCTTATAATTTCATATGTACTTACGTGGGGTTTAATATTATTTAAATTTTAGGCCGGAGTTCCACGAGATCGGCGCCGGCTGGCTGGGGAACGATCCCGTCGGCATGATGGAGCGACGGGCGTCGTCAAAACGATACAAAAATGTTTACAAGCACAACGCAAGGACAGACAGATTTCTACACCAGCGCTCTTTGTGCGATCCCCCAACCCACAGACTCTGGGAAACTCAAATTACTCTCATGATAGACAAGGTGCTCCAAGCGAGTATGCAAACATTGGGTCAAAATATAGCCAAACATTGGGTTGACTTTATTTGGAAAACACTCGGTTCCGACACCCTTCTGAACAGCCAAATCGTGGGAAGCGATTTCTACCGAAAATGACCGAAGTAAAACATGACGTAATGCTTGCAACAGCATGCGGTTGCTGATTGGTCAAATGTTTGTCAGAGTATTATGGGTTGCCGGTTGCTTGCAGGACCCGGAAGTTCCCAAGGATAGGGACTCAGAACTTTTTTTCCAATCGTCCCGAAACGTAACCAAATCTACTTTCATTTCGACATCGGGACAGTGGTAACGAACACCTAATTTCTTATTTCCTGCGAAACACCTTCGCTCTCACTGCGCTCAGACAGGCAAAGATGCTTATCTAACGTATACTAAGTAGCCTCCTTGGACAGGCGAAAAAGTAGGTCAATGGCTTGAACTTTTCACCCTTTTCACCCGATCTGTTTGCTGTGTCAGGGAACAGTTTTCTCATCTCAATATTACAATTAAAATAGTTAATGACATTATGTATTCACCAATGATGGTCCCAGACTATAGAACGCCCCTTAGCAACAATGTCAAAATGTTGATAGATGTAAGTTCCGACTTTAAAACGACCCAACTGGCGGCTGGAGTTTCAGTACGGGGCTGCGGAACACCAGTTGCTACAACCCTCCGCGGCCCCACAGCTTTTGGTTCCCGCAGGAGCGCGCCGGGCACTTCCCACCGGCCGGAGCGCCGGGCACGATCTCCACTGGCCGGCGGCGCAGCACCGAGGAATTTACCGGGGAGCTCCGCTGGTATGGTCACCAGACTAGACAGGGGAAGCCCGCCGCGGCAGCCGGCTTGGTCAGCGTGGATTTGTACTTGGAACAAAATAGGCAAGGTCTAAACTTTTCTAAAATCTAAAGCCTGGATACCGATACCCCCAGCCGTAGAGGTATAGAGGAACCTACGAAGGACAGGTTGAAGAAAGGTATGTTAACATTACTTTTAATGTTACTTCCTAATGTTGTAATGTGCCATAATCGTATCAGTCTAAATTTTGCAATCACAGCCGTGTTTTTGCAGTACCACATGTCTGTTAGTTATTGTACTGTACACTGAGGATCTTTTTGGATCGTAATATCCTCAAACTGGGCGGGCTGAGCACTCATCACTGTATACGTAGAGAAATTATCGGGAAGTTTGCCATTGTCTGGCTACCAGGCTACTAGTATTTTGGCCGACAATCGCCCGTTTGTTTGTATTTCATGACAGTTCCTTCACCCAGTCGCTATTTTCTTGTGTACGAGACTAGTATGTACTTTGTGTTCTGTATATGTATGTGTAGTAAACTTTCCTCCATTTCTGCTCGAAATTCTTTGTATCTTTCAAGCAGACTTTTTCGAGATTTCTACAATTTTTTCTATGTTATTCTGGTGTTCTTGGATCTCGCTGTGTTGTCGTCCCCCGGGTATTTCCTTATTGTGGATCTGAATGGGTCATCACTATATGTGTGACGCTATTTACGTACAGTTTCCGACAAAGATTCAGACCTATAATGCCAAAGAAGAACAGTTCTACTAACCTTGGAAAAACTGAGCCTCAGAGTAGAGAACTAGAATAAATTTTTCGCCTTCGATGAGGCGCGCCTGTTATAACTCGCAGTGGTTTGGGGAAATTTTGGTGAGTTCGCTTTTACGATAAGAATTACAAATTATTGTTTACGGATTCGATGCCCGCGCAGAATATCGATCATAGTCAGCGTAACTTGAACGTTTTATTTGTGTGATGTTCGCAAAGTACTTGGTTGTGTCTTCAAAGTTCCGGTGTCAGAATTTGGGTGTTGTTATATCGATACATCATTGTTGATCACTGAGTTAGAGAAAGTTTAAAGTTGCTTGTTGGCTGGTTACAACACGCGTGGAGAGAAGCTGGAATTTTAGTTTACGCATTGAAAATGTGTGCCACATGGTTACCGCATTCTCCCACGGCAGAGCTATCCCGCGGCAAATACGCCTTGGGATTACTGGTAAGGGAGCACCCCTGGCGTGGGAGGATGGGTTACCGCCACATGACGTCAAGTTCCATCGGGATCAAGTTTGTCGGCCCTACTTGATATTCTCCCCTTTCCGACAAAACCTTTCTGTTCAGATTAGTGGCTTAGGGATATTTTGCAGGCCCAACCATACTCTGCTGAAATGCCAGATCTTTCCAGCTGGCCTTTCTAATCATTGTCGTCCTGTAACTGACCCGGTAAAATACCCCTGCATGAAATACCTCTGGGCGGGCGGGCAGTGCTGATAGCACCACCGTGAGATACCGGAAGCATGCGATGGTCTGGCTGCCAGGCTATGTTAAAGTAATTTAGCATTCTTGGAGTTTATATTCGTCTGTTAGTATAATACCTGATGAATTTATTTTTGGAAATTTGTACTGTGAAGATTCTAACACCCGTTTTCCTGACTTCATTCATCTTGTTCTATGTGTGGTTTGTTCCGTCCATTTTGCTTACAGAATTTGGTCAGTATATCATTACAGATCCGACTGGTCTTTATCAGGTATCGGCGATCAGTGTTTTAGCAAGGAGGTATTTAACCTCCTTGGTTTTAGTGAATTTTTTTTAATAGCTGCTCGTTTTTAGCGGCTGGTTTTTTGGTTTATGTAAAGTTTGAGCCACCTGACGCCATGTTCCGCCGGGGTTTTCCGGCCTTACCCCAATTCTCTCCGTCAAGGCTCTTCTGTCCAGTAACCCCGGGCGTTGGATTTTCTTGTCTTTCCAGTAAACCTCAGACATGCAGCGAGGGATACCCTACTGTTCTACACTGGACACCGGTGCCGGCATATATGCCCTGTCTGCGCTAAACTGCCCGCACCTGCCAACGACGCAGGGTTCCGAACAGTGGAGACCATCTCAGTGCACGGAGAAGGTTTCAGTACGTTGTATACTCATCTCTAGGTCAACGTCATTTTTTTTTACTATTCACACAATTACAACTTGATATTGATCCGCGTATTCTTTGCATTACATGTTGCTGACATCCCACCATAATATTGTCCAAGTTTCACATCCGTGGTCACGCTGAACGCTGTCGAACTATGCTGAATAACACAACCCTGGAATGCAACAAACTTCGCTAATAACCTGTTCTACGCTGTTTCTTTCAGCTCTACATGGCGACAAACACAACAGTTACTCAAGAATACAATTAAGAAGTGGAACAAAATACCAGGTGAGTGCCTGACCATCCTTATTTCATGCAGTATTGTACATATAATAATCACGATGGTTAGGCAATGTTCGCATATCTATAGTACTTCTTTCATGAAAAGCTGTGTGTTTTGAAACACGGTACCATGTTTACTATGATGTCATTGCTGGGAAAACAATGTAGCCTGGGTGCCAGGCCCCTGTGCCACCATAGTCAATAAAGTCAGGGAAATCTCACGCCTGGAACACAGAATTTGCAGCCGCGCGGGGTCTAATTTATACGTCTAGATAAACTGAAGAAGGAAGCCAGCTCCGAAACTGTGGCGTGTTGGGCAGTATAGAGGCCCGATCGAGAGTCTCAGAAAAAAGCACTTTCTTTATTCCAAGCAAGGAGTTAAGCTCCTTGTTCTAAGTGCTAGGGTCTGGCACACAGGCTATTGCCAGAAAATGTGTTATAGATGTGTCTGCTTCATTGCATTCTGTAAAATTAATCGACTCACATGCTTTGCATATTTACATTTATGACCCCAAATCTTGTTAATTTAAGTTAATCAAAGCTGGCCAAAGTTGGCATAGATTCATTTATGCTCTTTTCTCTCTTTATACCCACAGGTAAACTTCGCCATGTCCACCCTGAGATGCAGACTACAACAGGAATTCACTGGCTAGCATGAAACCTAGTCGTGGAAGGCTTGGGGTGTGCATTCATGTTTTGCAGCCAAGAAAATTGAAAAACAAGCATGGAATGCAACAGCATCATGGAAGCAAAGAAAATAAAAACTAAAAAAGCAAGACTGACACAAACACACATGATAGAAAACACACAAGTGAATAAAATTTCTTACACAAAACATCACTGTTACACTACATGTGTCACACAGTAAAGTTATAAAAAAACGACCAGCATCATATAGTTGAAACTAAAAACATATTTGAAGTATTATAAGCTTGAATATGCTGCTCCTGAGCAAGAAATTTGTTCTCTCTTGATAGAAGAAAACATATTTGAAATATCAATAAAGACAATCATTAACATTCTGTGTGCAAAAAGCCACAGTATGCCTGAAAAGGTGCCATTTGCATGCATGGTAACATAGGCCTTTCCTGCTTTTTCCGATGACCACAAGGCCGGAGGCTACCTCAAAACCAATTCCCTAGGGAATGCATTCGTGCAATTTTTGAAATTCTTTCAAAGCGATCGCAGTACTTACACAAATGCCTCCGCCCCTGAGGCGTCGCCAAAAATAAACAGTACAAATGATAATAAGTAATGCTAATGCTACTTTATTTTTATTTGGATATACAATGGAAGCCATTTGTATAACTGTTAATATACTTATAAATGTAGTCATAGATAGGGTATAAGAGACGTGTGTGTTGTATTCAAAACCGTGCTTTGTATAGAACAATGCTCAAGCACAGTTCTGGATGGTCCAGGCCTATCCAGAACTGAGAGTGGTCAAATATATGTTCTTGGAGACGGAATTTATCTAGAACTGTGCCTGATCCTAACCCTATAGAACCAATTCAGACATAGATTCTAGATAGACACAGTTCTGTATCTGGGTACGATAGCGTACCACAAAACGTCAGTGTTCTAATCGCGTTTTTCGCCCCGTTGAGAGATTGAAACCGAGCTGACAATATCTGCTATCATTTATTACTTGTCAAATACTTTTATTAGCGGGTTTTGTTCACCACCGTTATGGCAAAAATCAATATTATCCAGTCAACATTGTAATTTATCTTTGTAGTGTTATTATTTCTTTATTGTATTGTAAATGTTTTTCTTTATACCAAGTAATCCAGGCGTTTTAGGCGTTTTACACAAAACGCTGTAATAACATAGCTTGATTTGAAGCTCATCAGCGCTGGTAGAAGTCTTTATGAAGTAGAATTGAATGTGATTTCCGACACAAAAATAGCTTGTTTCTTTCATATTGGAAGTTACAGTCTTGTAACTGTAAAGCGATGTCAATGATTATGGATCGTTTCCAGTTGAAAATTGAGAAATATTTATTCTATATAAAATATATCGTTTGGAATTGAAAGATAAGTTGTACAAAATGAAACTAGACGTTGCCCATGGCCCCAAGCCCTCTTTCTACCACAGCGTTCAATAAGAGAATATATAACGCTTGTTCCCGGCCCATTACACTTGATAACTCGTCCTCTGCCATTTGCAAATATTGCATTTCCGTCGGTAAATAACGCTGAGGACGTGCGCATTAGAGGCACCACGCGTTTATTGGAGCTCAATGGGTACATTTAACGCTCTGATTCTAATAGCATTCTGCCGTTGTGTGCACAGCGTGGGAGCGAATTCATTATTATTGCTGACGTTCCCTCAGAAATGCGGACTCTCTTAAGAGTGTTGAGTGTTGTATTTGTGGCAAATGGAAATGTATCTACTAGTGTATGTAGTTTGATTTCCACAAGAAAGACAATCTTGTTCTAATCATTACGTGGAGGTTAGATGATGTTCACTACACAGTATAGCAGCAGGGATTGTGCGTACAGAGTATATACTTAACTACGCGCTATATATGCTATACAAATGCAATCTGGCAATTTCGACAAGCACAATGTACAGCAAACTACATTTTTTTATTAATGCCTCGTCATACAGGACTGCATTTCTACTACGTTGCCTACAAGTGAGCCGAAGGCCAGATCCTCGACCTGGCGGCTGAACGGTTGCTAATCTCTAAACCAATCTCAGGCCTGCGTTTTCATTTCGTCATCATGTGACGTCATCTACTCCAAATTAGGCTCTTTCTGTCGTTAGGAAACCACCCTGGTCCATCTAGAGATAGAGAGAAAGGAGTTCTTACAGTTTCTACCGTTACCGTGCCCATCTGTTAGGTTGCCTACAGACAAACCCTATCATCATTTGTCTTCCCAGGCCTGTCTTTGTGTTTGTGGTAAGGCTGTGATGAAAGTGGCCCGGAGATATTTGTGAATCGATCGGCTACCAGCTGCTCTGACAGATCTGGGCCTCTTTGTGTGGTCAGCCTTAAATAAATCACACACACACGGCTAGGATTAGACGTTTCCACGCGTTCAGCCATAAAACTTATCTCAGTAGACTGTGTAAAATGTGCAGTTTCTATCTCATAGCCACATACCGATATTGATAAGGATAAGAAAATAGCATCGCAGTGAGCCGCTTTATGGGTCACAATTGAAGTAAGGTACAGGCACTTATGAGCTCCGCTTCAAGAGTAGCTTAGATTGAAAGCTAATCCTTCAAATGCTGCCTAGATCCTAGAGAAGTATAAATAGGGCGGATTCATTCTTCAAGCCGAACGACATCTATGACATCGCAGTCGTCCCTCAGTAAGACATCTGGGCCACATATAGTTCCCGTGTAGAACTTTTATTCAGCCTGTCACGACGGCTTTCTACTGAGGGACGACTGCGATGTGATAGATGTTGGTTAGCCTGAGGAATGAATCCACCCTACTCTACATTTCGCTATAGTTTGGACAGCGTTTGAAGGATTTGCTTTCTACTCATGCTGCTGTAGCAGCGCAACTTCTACGAGTTTGTACGTCGCATCAATTGGGACCCATAAATCTTCTGGCTGCGATGCCATTGCCTTGTCAATGAATGAGTCTGTGGCTACATGTAGAGGATATGAACTGTATATTTTACAGTCTACTAAGATAAATTGTAAGATATTAACAATGAAATATTGGCTAATATCCCACAAAACGCTTTGTATCGACTTATGATATTTCTGGATGGCAGAATACGCGTTGCACTGTTTTCAGATTATAGGATATCTTCCTAGATCTTACAAAGACTAAAGAAACAGAACACCCAGGTCATTTATCTTGTTGTAGTTACTCACAATCTACATCTGCTGCACTCCAAACGCTTTGGTGTAAGTTTACTGCCCAGATATAGATAACATCATGTCTACTACGATCAGGGACGTCGTTTGTAAGACATTTCACGGTCGCTTCATTCTAACAAGCTGATGAACAAGACGACGCAACGTTGACGTTTTATGATTGAAGACGTCGTCTCGTCTTTGCAATATCTTCCCAGATCTCAGCAAGACGGATGAGAAACCGAAGCCATGAAACTGCAGAGCCATCCATCTTGTGGCACTTATACTATCTGCCTTTTCTGCTTTGTAAGTTTTATTGTAGGGATAACACAGAGGATATGAGAAACATCTGCGAACGTCCGGAACGTCGTATCTTGGACGACTGCCTAGGCCGGCGATCGAAGTGGAACGGCGCCCAAATATCTAAAAGATCGCTCAACAAATTTCACAGATAAAAAAAAAGAGAGAAATTTGCTTTCGTGATTTGTGTTACGTCTGCGCCATATAACAATTTGATTATGATGCAACTTAAGATGTGAAAGTATAATTTAAGACAAGACAAGAAAGCAATAACAAAACCCAGGTATATGAAGGATTAGACAAAACCAAGGGTCACACAGATTCAAATACGGTCTCCGCACCACTACAGTGTGATCGCCGGCCAGGCGGAAGTAGAGCCTACAGGAGGCTGGATAGATCGCCGTGTGAAATATCACGTCCATTCCCGCGGATTTACCGGGACCGGGTGACAAATTGGCGGCTCATGCGCTGCCGAGGACGGCTTTTCCCAGCCGCAAGGTACGGTATTTGCGCGCACCAGGCTAAACTTCTAAAACTTCCACCTACATAAATTCTAATAACCATGATAGGTAAAGTGAGAGTGGGGCTTAGGGGAATATAGTATTGTGTTTCCTGTTTCCCGTCCGACCATGGCACCCCCCCCCAGCTGCCCCCCCCCCCTTCCCAATCATAGCCTTTTTGGGGCAGTCGACCAATAGCAAGGCCCTAAATTTTCCTAAAAAGTATCCTAAAATTTACTATTTGATCAGAATTTCTAATGTTTCCAGCATACATTTAGCTGATCATCACGATTGGAACAGAGTAATTGTTAAACACGGGGTTGTTGTTTTCTCATGCTTGCAGTACAGTTAATATTTTCTAGTGCCCCTCCAAAGTAATCAATGTTAAAGTACAACAACCCATAGGATTTCATTTGGCCAATTATCACTACAAGAAATTAATAATAGATCGAGAGAGAATGGATATTTCAAAGCGGAAACATTATTTTAGATATACATTGACAATATCTAATTTGTAATCATCTGAAAGGGATTCTTTATGCTTCATCATGGTACACAATGTACAGCTCCTTGTATGCACTGCACGAAAAGTTGGATTTAACAATACCCTAGTGTGAACAGTGCCGAACTTGACAATGCTGTTAATAAAAGTAAAACCCGGTAATTCATTTACAACCATTGTTAAGACCAAAATTACCAGACTTGACTTTTATTTATTACCATTGTCAAATCAGAGACTGTTCAGGAACCCAACTTTACTGGCATTTGCTACCATTTGGTAAATGCAAATGTTCGTGCCGTGAAGTCAGCTGTGGAACGTCATAGGAAGAGACTAATTAATGGGATGCCCGACCTTCATAACCGGAAACAGACTATTCGGAATATATAAAAACGTTGTTTCCAACAAACCGTGACAATGTGGAGTTGATAGTCCTCCCACTGAGATTCCCTGCACGCGAACATTCGGCGCTTTCCCCGGAGACTTGTTGCCTGTACAACGTAATTGATCATTACTGAATTGCTCCTGTTGCAAATGTCGCTGCATACGTGCCTTCTGAAAGTAACGCTTGTTCGTATAAGGCTGCGCGGTCACTACATTTCTCGTACTATTGTCGCACGATTGCACAAACTGAGGACACTCTTGTGGCAGTTGTACGTACGTCGTTCAAAAATTAGCTGTCTTGTAATGGAAAACGCTGTTAATGTTTTAAATCATTATCGGAGGATGGTTATGTCATAGCCTGCTTGAAAATCCTGCGTATACATTTCTATGGTTTTCGTTAAGGCTTCAACTCATGTTTTGCGAATCAGTATTCGTATTTTCGCTGGAGAATCGCACTCAGATTCTTGGAGAGGAAAAGGATCAATAAACTATGAAAAATTCTGCCCCATGCGCTACGAAGTTGTGACCTCATCACGCCTGGCGTGCCCCCGCTCTAATTCTCCCGCGGACCCCGAGTGTGTACAGCCGACACCGGCTCTGAACCTGCCGCCGCACTCAACAGATCACTCGGCCACTTCTCCGCCGTGTAAGGTGGAAACTGCCGGTGGTCCCGCCTAAATATCGTCTGGGATAATATCTAATACGTGGGAATACTGTAGAGTGCATGGAGAGTGAAGATGAAAAGTATTATTTCCCACAGGACAGAAAAATGATGAGAAATGCAATTTTCATAGCAGAAGTTGAGGAATTTGAAACATGATAGTAAAAAAATCAATACCATTGAGTCTTTTATATCTTATAAATCAATAAAATCTGCCGCTTCAGACGTTCAAAATTGCGGGGGATTTTATTTTTCCTTGCCTTTAGAGAAGACTAGATCTGACAATAGAAAAATTAATGCAAACGTAGAATTGGAACCGGGCTAGTTCCGTCATTCTTTTACCTGCCGTGGTGTATGCATGTATGTTTTTGTTTGTTCACTTGCATGTAATCATCCATAGCCTTCGGACATAAATAAGCAATGTCATTCATCAACGTTCTCCCAACACATGGGGTGGCCTGTACCCTCGTGAATTGGCAATCTGGCGTGATCATTGTAAAAATTGTTTTTGAGTGCCTTAGTGCATTGACTATATATTAAACGCCCCATTCTGTAAGATGAATATGCGAATCTGTAACTAAGCCTCTGTTAGCGTGCGTGATTTTATGTTTCATTTACACTGCTGCAAGGAAAGGCATTACACGTACATTAGGTGATTGACCTGAGCTTGACACTGACTTTTGTTTTACAAACACACATAAGGTGCTGACGCCATATCGTCGAACAGCAGGCATTCTTCTGATCACCTCGAGTTCGAGAACGCCGTTTTTTACAAATGAATGACAGCACTGGAAGCACTTATTCAGTCCATCAGCCAGAGAAGAGTATCACCTTGGCACGTTGAGCCTCCACACGTTGGTTCTGATCCAATCTCGCCTGGTGTTTCGCCCGAGGGGCAGTATAGTGTTGATGATGAGAGAAGCGGTTGGACACATTTGGTTGATTGCCTTTCTGTCTGAGATTGCCTCCGGTGCGGCTGTCTTATCAGGGCCGGTGAAGGTGAAGAGATGGGGTGAAGTGTAGACAGGAGATAAAACTGAGCAAATTTAAGGTTTACGTACCATGTATTTCTAGACAAGTGTGAAACTGAAGTGAAGGAGTTGTAGTGTTTCCACATAACATAGTAGCGCAAACCGTTGAGAGATGTACAATGTACGTTAGCGTATCATAACGTAACTGCCGGATAGGTTAAGTTTTCGTAGCGCTAACCTAATGACTTGAACAACACATTGCGGCAAAACTTTCAGCGTGTATCGTACCAACGTAGATTAGATTCCATTCTTGTACCATTGTATTTCCTGTCCCCACGACGCAACACGCACAACTGGGAACCATCATCAGTGTAAACCTGTCAGAATAGTTTCCGTTATAGCGATACATTCATTTGTATTCCTGTCGTTTCTCAAATTTCAATTCCATCCGTCCTTATCAACGCGGTTTTATATTGCGAGCGTTGTTCTTTCTCTCGGAACCAATCAGGCAGTTTAAGGATGGATTGCAGATAAGCTGACGTGAAGCGTCAGTCTTCAGCAATAATGCCCTATCGCTCCGTCTGTCTAAGTGAGCATAAGAGAAGAGATACGGCTTTTCTAACAGGTGGTGATTGGCATTCTGTACGCAGTGCTGTATTATTTTATTATGTATCATATGATGCGTCTCTCAACGATTTGTCCTACCATGTTATGTTGAAACGAAATTCTAAAATAGACAAGATTTGAGTAGATATCGGTTATTGGCAACGCTACAGCCTTCACTTTGATTTCACACCTATCCAACAATCCATGGTAAACTTTACTGGGGTATATCCAATATCTATATATATCTCACCCAAATCCCTCACCTTCGCAAGAAAAGAATTACAGCTTGACTGTAAGTACTACCTTGAGCAAAGTGGGATTGCAGTCATTGACACCACGCTTTGTTTCAAGAATTGCACCGAGTGAAATCCAAGAGAGTGTTGCTACTCGTATGAGGATCGAATGTGTCCACATAATTTTTTCCAAGTGAGGTGATGCAGCCATCTTAACGTGCTCCGATTGGTATTCTCCACCTAACAATGTATACTTTAGACGCTGGGAACTAACTAACGTTAGAATGAGGACTGACTCTGTCCTTGGTGCTGAAATCCATATTCAGTATTCCCTTGAAGTGAAAACATCCGATGGGCTACAGCTCTTCTTATGTGACGTGAAGCATCTGTACCCAACGCCGTGTACTGTAAACGGCAATATTTAAACACTGGGTGAAGATTGTCTCTGTCCTTGGTGCTGAAATCCAAATTATGCCCTCTTCGTGGGCAAGTGAAATGACACGGTTATTTTAAAGTGCTGTGTTTGGCCACGGTATTCTACACCCAACACTATATACTCTAGACTGTAATAACCAAACATTGCATGCTGCAGTGAGGACTGCTAGTACAATAAATGTAGACGGTAATAACTAAACACTGTTGCAATGGATATGTAGCTCTGTGGTCTGTACTGAAATCCAGACTATGCCTTCTTAGTTAGTACAGGCAAAGCGATACAACTAGTGTATTGCGCTGTGATTTGCATTCTACACCCAACACTGTATATATTATACGGTAATAACTAAATATTGTTGAGCCGGTTTAGCGGCACATAAAGAGCATAATAAGTGTACAGTTGAAATTCAGTCACTTTCCTCTCCAACTTAGGCATAGATTGACGTACGTGGCACAAAATGCACTACACAAGCCTTTCTGGCTATGATCCAAATTCCGTTTATGATGTTATATCACATGTACCCATGACGAAGTACAGGGGTTCTCCCCAACCCTATCGGCTTGGCGCTGATATTGGTTCTGACAGTTCCGACTTATGTCGTCTCAGGGAGATCTAGTGACGTGATTACCATCTAAGATGAACTTTGTTCGTCCTGACTTTTTGACTTTGAAACGTGCTCGCTCCTCTGTAGCTGTAGCTGTAGACAGTCCTTTGACAGAAACTATCTCGCAACCAATCTTTACGGTTTTCGAATCCTATCTGGACTTTATCTCCCAATTTTTCTCTTCCATAGTATATATAGACGTGGTAGGACATTATTTACACTAGCAAATGAACTCTACAATGTATTATTTTTACATGGGAACATGACATGTAATGCAGACAGTGGGGACCGAGGTAAGGGACCACTGTACGGTTCATCTGAAAGATATGCTGCTCGCGGTCGTAAATAAAATTTTCCATTCCATGCCACTGTGCCGCAGGAGGGAGTCAATTTTCGGCTTTACCTTGTCAGAGCCTGATGGAAATCTCATAGATTACGCGGACCGATGTCACGTTAGATTCGGCAGAGATTCGGCGAGCCCCCGGATAACTCGATCTGGGCTGCGGGGCGGCGGGGACACCGCGTCCGTCATGTTCGGAACTGTCGCAGTGTAGCGGTAATTACTGCCGCGTTTAGCGGCCTGGAGACGCCTACTTTCGGGCGCGCATTATGTCTTGATTATCCGATGAACTGCGATGAGGCGTGTTGGCGTAGGCGTTGAGATCGCTCGTATCCTGGCATTGTGTGACATTAATACATGTAGAAAGAGTGGGCATGTACATGGGAGAGAGTACCGGCACCGGTGTAACAGCTCAATCAGCGGCCCCCGGGCTTAGACATTACCCCGGGTTCAATTCGATGGAGGATTAATTTAGGTTGCTACACCGGGATGATCTACCAATAACTAACGGCTTTTGATCAGCCAACAATCATCGTCCTGGGAAAAGGGAGTAGATCTAGAGTGGATGAAAAAAAAGGCATCTATCAAGTCGAAATGGCCGAGCGTACCGGCAACTAATATTACAGTTTTGTCTAGCAATCAAACGCAAAAGGTGGGATGAAAACTCCTTAAGCATCTCTTGATGTTGTGGATCCAGAATTTTATTTCAGAACGCTAAAATACTAATACTAATCTGGTCAACGGCGTTTTGCTCACTTTTCTAAACAATCTTCCTTTCCAGGGGACTGTACTATGTTGGTCTGGAGTTCGGGGGTGAGTGTTACTGCGGGAAGAACATCCACGCTGTCCCCGTACCCTCCCGGGAGTGTAACATGACCTGTCCCGGGCGCCATACGTCACGTGTCACGTGTGGGGGCGTGGCCAGGATAGCCATCTACAGGATGGACCAGAAGGCTCTGGAGAAGATACACAAAGGTGACGGGAAGTTTTAATTAGCCCGCATAGGCAATGCCTACTGGTATTAGCCTGGTTTTTAAACCTATTAGCTCCCGAGTCGACTCGGGAACTATCATAGGTTTGGTAACCATGCAGTACATATGATACAGTAAAAAGCATTTTTTTACACTGTTTGGCCCTGTCCTTGGTGCTGACAACCGTTTATCGGCACAAAAAGAGCATGAACCATGTATGATGAACCATGGATTTAAAATAAAAACTGAAACATGCTTTGTTCATAATCTGCTTTTCATATTAGAGCGGCTGAAGCAGCGAGCGATTCCGATTCCGACGATTGCCGACTCCTACCGAGGGTGTTTCCGAATGACGACAGCACCCGAGCAGATCTCGCCCTCGCCTCCCTGGCAGGACGACCGCCTGTCCCCGGTCAGATGTGTGCAGAGATGTACAACAAAGGTGAATATTAACTTTGGATATTTGGGTTTTTCTTTTACACTACCAGTAATGTCTCTTACCTGCTTACGTTTCGATGTCTATCTGACAGCTTCCTCAAAGCTAGCTTTGACTGGAGTACTGCTTCTCGCCGCTATATAAAAGAAAACCCCAATAGCCCGTGTTGTACCAAACTCAGTCTAAAATCTACCAACCTGATGAAATTATTTTCGAGAGAGTCTTAACTTGTTGGTTTGATTGTTTGTTTGTTTGAGCGTAGCGAGCCTTAACTTGTTTGTTTGTTTGTTTGTTTGTTTACTCGTATTCGGTTATATGTGACGGGCTAACGCCAACCAAAACAAAACTTTAACATTGAAACGCGATCTATCCGTGTTAATGTCTCCCTTTGTCTCTCCAGCTCTTCACGCTAGCGATCATGGGAAACTTCACCACCTGTCAGTGTGCCAACGTCACCGCCAACTTCCGGATCTCCAACGCCTCTGGGGACGAGAACTGCAACTACCCGTGCGCTGGGAACGAGGAACAGCGATGCGGAGGGCCGGGCCACGCCTCCATCTATAGGACAAATGTGGAGGGTGCGTTTTTTGATTTTTTTTAATCAGCTCTTTCTCAGCATTATATTAGCAGCCGGACTGCCTAGACAGAACGCTGTCAGAGTTTTGGCTGTACCCGGCCTAACGTTCTAGGCCCAGCCACACCCCCACCCTAGACTCCCCCGTAGCGGTAATTTAGACAGGCGGGCGAAGGGCCCGAAACAAGTCTGGCGCCCAGGGTATTTGCGCTGAGGAAAGTATTAACTTCACATTTAAATTTCTGTCTGTCCTTGATCTTAGCAATCTTCCCCGGAAGACTGTTTCAAAGTTTAACTGCCGTTGGCACAAAAGTTCTCCCATGATTTGTATCCTTCATCTGTTACTGCATGAAAAATGGATTTACAAATGACTATAATTGTCCCATAAGTCTGGTAATGATTGCTTTTTAATGCCATGGGCAACTATTCGATGCAGCTAACTTTTATGCCACACCAATTTAATTTGTTGGTTGATGGATTCACCCGCTTCATTATTTTTCTAATTTGCAAAAAAAAAACAGTCCAGCCTCATGGATCAACTCAAAATGCTTATATTTTGGTCCTAAGTCCCTTCTCTTCAGAGTTGTTACAGTTTTTCCTTCTATTAATGCAGTGGTTTGATTAAAAGTTTGAAATTCATTGTTTGGATTACAAACCAGCCTGGTATGTTGACTTCATGGCTCCAGTCATAGCATTTCGGGCTATCATAGGGTGCTTAGGTCTGTTTTTATTATTTTGTATTATTGTTTGCATTTATTTTTTCTTCTTGTCACCTCATATGTTTCCTGAAAAATCCGAGAACCAACAAATCAAACTGATGTGGCCTTACCCTTACATTAACGTCGTGTCTCCCCGCAGATGTGCGCTGCTCGCATCAGGAGTTTATCGTGCCGGACCACAGCCGTCCGCTGGTCGCCCTGGCCAGCTTCCCCGGCTCAGGCAACACCTGGGTCCGCCACCTCATCGAGAAGGCCACGGGGATCTACACGGGCAGCTTCTACAACGACGGAGACCTTTACCTGAAAGGTAACTTTGACCTAAACACGTGGGTGTTTCAACACGTGTCACAAGGGGACTACATGAGCCTAGAGTAGAGCGTTTCACGTTTTGTGCTACGCCCGTTGCCAATGCCTTTGAGCTTCAGGCGAGTGTGTGCTAGAAGATTAGCGGCCAGACAATGAGAAGGAAGGCGTAACTGGATACGTACACTGTCTGGTCATGGTCGATTTTTAAAACAATTTAGTACCTTGAAGGACAACCCTAAGCAAAGGAGTGTGCAAATGTGTTTGTCCGTTTGTTTGTGTGTATGTTGTCTCTGGCTATCAAACTAACCTATGAACAAACCTACATGAAGCTCAAATTCACTTGTGCAACGTACTGGACGCAAAATTTGGATACTCTGGGACATTGCATATTCCGTCCTAGGCCTCTTGTATGGCGTGTTGTAGCACCCGAGCACTAAGTCAACATTATGCAAAAACGTATCAAAAAGACATCTTCAACGCCGGGACTTTCTTTTACCTTTTCTACGCACAAGCGGATTCTAACTGCGTGCTATGATGACAGATGCCGGTTACTTACGAGATCTGTAAGACGATACGAACGACAGCAATCATGGCATCGCGCTTACATCTGAGCAATTATGCGAATCAAAGAAACGCCGTGATAGATAACGCCATTTACGGTAATGGAGATCTGTACTTGGAAAGTATTATCGAGGAAGCGAGTAACATTTTGCTAATGGCGTCATCACTCATAACGTGCAAATTGCCACGGCAAACAGCACAAAGCGCTCTGGTCACAGGCATCGGAAAGATGCGCTGTTTGCATCTCTATGTGTGTGAATATGTTGGTGTTTGAGTGCAATTGAGAGGGTTTGGCTATCGCAAATTGACCTGAAGGTTAAGTTGGTAATCTGGGAGGAAGTAACCCCACTCATAGCGTTAGGGTGGTGAACCCACTTGTCACAGATGTCAATTTAATAATTCAGAGTCTAGCATTGCCTTGATTCATCATAACCATTACATAACTCATCAATCAACTTGTAATGGGTTACCTTACTGTCCCCTTTCTGTCTGTAATTCATATTCATAATTTGACTACCCCGACTGAAAACTGAAAATCCCCTTGAAGTTTAGGTCATTATTAGAAAGCATGTGCTTTTTTCTATCGCGCCGTGATTGAATACTGTTAGATCCGTGTATTGTGCAAGTATTTCGATCAATTCCGGCATACAGCTTACGGATGGTAAACTTATTTCATTCAACTTGCAACGACAAGAATGCATGTTGCAACGCTTGACAGCAAATCCTGTGGTATGGTATAGTTTATTGAATGGTAACGTAGTGGTGTATATATGTAGTGATGTAAATTCATAGCTAGCGGAGTTGCAGGAAAAAAGGAGTGATGCCCTGGATGCTTCCCTGTTTTGGCAACATTGAAGTAAAAAGACACCTCTTGGCCTAGTTTCATCTTCCTTTGGCACGTAAATCGTGTGTACAGAAAGGTAGGAAATTACTGAAGCAATTTAGTGACATTCACGTCTCTCCTTGTCAATGTGAATCTCTAACCTTTGGGATAATCACATCTCTCCATCAGAAATCTGACAGCCGCTCAGCTCCGAACCACGCCCAGAATCACAATGTCTGAACTCTCGGTGGAGATGGCACAACTTACCCCCGAGGTCTCCGGTTAGACAGTGATCGAAAATCGTTCCGGGCACTCCATTGTGCGTTTGCGTGACGGGAATTTTTGGAGGTCACGTCCGACGTCATGCAACGCGCGGGATGAGATGGTCTTCCGGGGGAGAGTCGGATGTTTCTCTTTGGCTGATGATTTAGATCTCGCGATAACATCCGCTGAAATCTCGCGGGAACGCTGAAATCTCGCGGGAACGCTGAAATCTCGCGGGAACACGGTAATCTCGCGGGAACACGAGCTTGTGTTCTTGGTCCCTCTTTTCAGAGCGAATGAAGTCCTTCGAGGCTTACAGGTGGAATAGCTTTCTGAAGCTAACGCTAAAGTGCTTCTATGACGCGGATGAAGGCCATTACCGTCTTATGGGTAGAAATCCGTAGCCTGGAGCCCTTGAAGGATAACGTGATGAAAGGGGGATTTCTTGGCAATGGCGGAGACATTTTTGCCTGCTGAATACATACATATCAGGAATCAGACACGGTCTTTGACTGAGCGCAGTTCGCATACGATTTACCAGTTAAGCAGGGCTATAGCATTGAATTCAGCATCCATAACCTCTATTGAACATCTACAGCAACTGACACGTACCTTTTGTAATAAACCACACTTATATACGGGCGGATAGAAGCAAGGCAAATGTTATTACCGTAACAGTCCTCACGTCTTGATACACATATGCGTATTGCGAGTTATCCGTGCAATCTTTCAGCAGTTTTGAAAATCCTTTGGGATGTGCTTATCTTGATGAATTTTGAGATTAAGTGCATAGTATTTCCTTGGTACTGCCATCATCTAGCATGTACACGATAGTGATAATATATACAGATGTACAGCATATGGTTACTTTTGTCTGCCGCCTATTTAGTATTGGCAGTACTCTGAGTCTGTTGCAATAGTATAACTATGTATTTAGCCCATATGGACAAGAATATGCACTAGAGATCATTTATTATTACCATGTGCCTCCTCAGGGTTAAAGGAGAGAGAGAGAACTGGCGGAGAGGGAACACCATCGTGGTGAAAACGCACGTCTTTGACAAGGAGCACATCCAGACGTTTGACGGCGCCATCCTGCTGCTGAGGAACCCTTACCGAGCCATACAGGCCGAGCATAACAGGAGACTGGCGGGACATACGGGGCTAGCAGGGGCAAAGAGCTATTGGACACAAGGTAGGGAGAGGGTAGTCTGGATGTCAGCTTTCTCGGTCGCTTCCCTGTCAAAATAGGCTGGACCCCTCATATTTATTCGCCTGGTGATTATGAACAAATTTTCTCATTTTTTTACAGGAGCTTTTCAAAAGATAACGGGGCAAACGAAATAATACCAGACTAAAGTACCCGTGCTAGTTGGACGATCTATCTGTAAACTATTTTGTTGTGGCTTGTACAGAACCCATGTGTTCATTAGTGTAACTACAGTTATGTCTTTCTGGGTTTCAGAATGGGTGGGTTTTGTGAAAGGAGGGTCCCAGACCTGGGCGAACACCGCTCTGGAGTGGATAAAACACTGCAAGAAACTCTTCGTCATTCACTACGAGGATCTGCGGAAGGACGTCATCGGCCAGATAAAGAGAATATTACAGTTCCTGGAGGTTCCTGTGTCTGAAGAAAGACTTCTGTGCGTAGAGACGGACAAGGACGGGAAATTCAAACGGAGAAGACATCTTGATTTCGATCCGTACAAAGCGGAAATGCACGAGGCCATTGACATCTACATCCGGTCCGTGGGGATGGCGCTACAGCTGAACAACCTGACGAAAATTCCACAGGAATACTACCCGGATCAACCTGTTTAAGACTCCTCGTTATACCATGTCATAACGCGTCTATGTTCAGATGTTTATTTGTGAAAAGCAATTTGCGATGACCAAGCGTTATTTGTGTATATTTGGCAATCGATATTTTCGATGTTATATGGTCGTGTAGTGTGGATATAAAGCGACTCTCAATATCGTAAAACAAGTCCATCGTTGAAATGGCCGTGTATAATCGCTGGACCCTGCAACTATAAAACTACAGGAAACCGATACCAAACTCAGAGTAATACCATAGGAACTCATAAAAAGTCAGATAGAAATTAAGTTTTCATCAATGTCACATTAGACCGAGACAGAATTGTTTCATGTCATCTATAAGTATGATTGTTCACTGATTACATGTTATGAAAGTGAGCTAACACGAGCGGTCCGATAATTCCTATGTCTCTGTTTGTCACGTTTTTAGTCGCTTTAGACGGTATCGTATGCAGAACCGTGCCTATCTAGCTCTGATGCTTGAATTGGTTAGCGTTTGGATCAGGCATGATTCTGCATAGTCTCCGCATATTCAAGAAAGTTTATTTTTCCCAGACACGGTCTTCGATACGTAATCCAGAACCGTAATTCGGGTAAAGCCGGTTCTAGGTACAACAGACAGTGTTGACACTTTGTTAGATTCCCCAGCCAGCCGATGGAAAATTCTGAAGATCTTTAATTCAGATTGAGCCAGCAGATTGCATCTCATTTTCAATCGATGTTAATGTTGGAGGGCCACAATCGAACTTCTGTCTTTCTATCTTATTGCCACCGCCTACTCACAGACAAGTAGCAAATATCATAGCTATCCATCCAGATTTTCCTTCGTTGTGGTGTCCTCATACACACACATTACCATCTTGGTGAAGGTAAATATCCTTGAACCTTGAACATGGACATCAGGGATATCATCACCAGAAACAATGGGTTCTTCTTCTCCACTCGTCTCTTTCCTCCATCAGTGAGCGGAGTCCTGCTGTGGAGAAGTCCCTGAGCCCAATATCTCGCTTCAGGGTGTCAATTCTAAGGTAACTATCTGTACAGAATAAAGCAAAGATGCCGCTATTCAAGGCATCGCTCTATATAATCTCTGCGCATTGCCAACTGCTTATAAAACAGACGTGGCCGTTTATCGTCCCATCTGCTCTTTGTGAAATCACCTCTGGTCACTAAAATGTCAGACGTGTCATGCCATTGGGCGGTAAAGAAAATGCCAAGGCTTTACGTACTTGCCTCCCACCGAAGCCGCCTAATCCCTTCGTAATGAAACCTTGAGCCGCAGTCCAATAGCCCAAGGCACATGGTAAAACGGGGATTACTGGCCTGAAAATTGCCGCCCTGCCTATAAAACGGTATTTTCGTCTTTCGCACAACTATTGACGAACTAGGGTGCAGATGGCTTGCAAAACACGAATCGTTCGTCATAAAATAAGCGTTGGCCGGAAATGCCACGAGGATATTTTGATGCATATGCATAGGACACCAAGAAATCTGAGATTGAGATACCCCTGTGAAATATTCAAAGTTTTGTGAAGTTCTTGTTTTAGATTATTGAATTTCTTTATCCGCGTCTATGCATTTTCCCACTGCAGCTGACTCCCAGCCAACTTCCTGCTGTCCCCGGTCAGCATGCTGGAACCTAACTTCCCGTGTCTCACCTTTTGTGGTCATTGGTTAGGGAATTCCCCTATCCACCCCTGTCACTCAACTGTATGGACACAAAATTAAACGTATACTTCTACTACTACGCTAGCTATTATAAGGTTCGATAACATTCTCGTTTAACCATATAAGTGAGCCTTCGTTTTCGTGCAGATGTCAACACCAGGCAATCTTGGCGAATGGCATCGTACCGTGAGTTATTAGACAGTTCCTCGGCACACACGCTTCACTGGATACCCTTCATATCGTGCCTGACCCCTCCCGTGACCCTCGGGCTTCGCTATTGATGTATGCCCGCGGACGAGACATTGCATTTTCTGCAAGACTGGCAGATCAAGGATCTATGAAGGACAAGTGTTCCCTCTGAGCCATCCGGAACACCACAGTGCAACTGTTAATGTACCGTGCGGGGATCAGACTACGCCGGGTGTCATCAGACACGTCATTTCTCACTTGTCACAAGGTTATCTTGTCTCTGCTAGCCTACACCGGGCCTTCCTAAAGGGGGATAGAATGGGAGAATTCGGCCGAATTGACTGGCCAGGGGAGTAGGTCCACCATCAGGGTTTCATACCGCCATATATTTGAACTTCACTGATACACAACAAAAGTACAGCGTACAGTACAGTACAGTCTTAACTTCATGTAGACATACAGACAAGTACGTAGGTAAAACGAAATTAACCTACATACAAGATGACAATACATGAATCAAATACTACTTGTTCTAAACATTCTTTGATATATTTACCTATTTGTACACGGTAAGGGTTGTTACGTACCTTCCAGAATGAAATTGAATTTATTGTGGCTAAACTCCCTTGGCCAATTGTTATTTAGATAAATTTGTTGTTTTTGAACCCGCGTTGTATCTGATGGAGACTATGCCTCTGCAACATACACACGGATGGCTACATTGTAACAAGTGTCAATACCTTTGTTATGGCGAATCAGCGTCATACAAAAGCCGTGGTGAAACCATATTTCAAAAAGAGCTCTGGGCATTATTTCCCTTTATCCACCGCGAGTCTCCTGTTACTAACAGATGTGATCTGTTGTCAGTTTGTAAACCTCTCCGAGATGGTACATGCTCCGGTTCGACCGGAGAGAAATCTCCAAGGAGACAGTCAGTCTGAGACGCAGTCATCCGAACGGCTAAGACAGAAGAGCTATAAAGTCCCTCGCGCTGCCCTTGTTATCATCGCGCTTTGAAAGTGACACTTGTGCGTGGAGCGGAAAATCGGGCTGATGTTTTCATAAAAGATGTAATTTGAAGACACGACGTTATGGGGCTTGACACTCGCCGTGTGTCATGCGGTAAAGTAGTAATTCATAAAACATCTACAAAGTAACACATAACAACATGTCATCATTCATATTCAAGATGCACGATTCCATGAAAAGTTAGATTCTCAATTGCAATTCTTGGATATGTTTGAATTCTCTTCCTCAACCAGTATAGACTCAAATTTGCGTACGCTTCTTTGCTATCCTGGCTATCTGTACTGCGTCTACGCAAACCCGGATACAATATTTGAAAACAATGTACGGGATATCGATATCGTCCTTAGACACGTAAATGCTATCATAAACGATACGTTCTGCCGAAGTCCTATTTACAAGACAGTACATGTTTATTACAATACATGCAGGTTTACTACATGGACATGCCAGGCGACACGTACACGCGGTAAATATCACAGAGGACAGGCGGCGTCATGACGACACACGGTCCGCCAGGTAACCATGTCACACACGTAATCATCAGATTTATCATCGTGCTCCGGGTCCGTGCTGGGAATGGGATATGGACACGACCCCGCCAAATAACCTAGATTGGAGTCACGGTGCGAACTGTGAAAGAATATGTGTGTTTATTTTATATAGATAGGTCACGTTCGTGTTCCTGAACGCAATTGCAACCAATGCGTTTTTTGTCACACTAGTTGTCAAATAGGAAGCTAAGTGCCCCCCTCAAATAGCAATATACACTGCTAGTACAACGACATATGCTTTTAAAGCAAAGGCTTGTCATTTTTATGTTTACCGAAGGAAAACATATTGATTTTGCTACGTTTCCTTTTCTTCTTCTCCAAACAGTGACCTCTGACCTGACTGAACCATACTGTCTCTCACCATGGTAACTGGTATT